GTATCTATGTATCTATGTATCTATGTATCTACGTATCTATGTATCTATGTATCTACTTATGTATTTATACATATGTCATATCTATATTCCTTACTGTATCTACATACATGTATCTGTATCCTCATATATGTATCTGTATCTAAAGCTGTATCCGTATAGTTATTCTCCTCTATCTACCATATGTATTTCTCAATTTGTATCTATATCTATCTTTCTATGTATCCGTATCTGTCACTCTTTGTGTATCTGTATCCGCGTTTGCGGTAGGCTGACGGAGCGCTTGGTTGTCGTTTGGTCGGCCGGTCGGTCTATCGGCTGGTCGCAACGTTTGTAACTGTCAATCATAAATTAGATGCCAATCAAAGTAAATCACAAAAAAATTGTGCCTGATTTAAATGGCAAATGGCAAAAGCCACTGCACTGCACAAACATCTGTTAGTTTCGTTGTTTCATATTGAAAGCATATGAAGTCGCTCATCGTTTATCGTATTTTGTTTATTGTTTATTGTGCATTGTGTTTTGTTTTATTAACAAGCTGAAGGCAATATCCATCAAGGGAATAATCGACTAGCGAAAGTTGCTAATGGATATGGGCAATGTGTTTGCTATGGTTGTTGTCTTTTTTTCTAGTCTATGGGGAGCTGTGCACGCACATTGAAGTGTGTATGAGATTAAAACAAGTTAAACTTTCTAAACTTGGCATAAAGTCCTTCGAGATCAATTAAGGGTGATCTGAGAATAAAATGAGTTCTGCTCTGTGACTCTTCCTCTGCTCTATTTCTCTCCCTCAGATTATCTATTCTCTCTGCTGCCTGATCTGCTTATCTAGCCTCTACTCATTAGATCATCCATCACAGATTTAGCATTTCAGCAATTAAAAAGTTGGGAGAGTTTAATTCTGATTCGCATCAAAGTACGAATATTTATACAGCTCGCCGAGCATATGGCAACTGGCAACTGGCAATTGGCAATTGACAACTGGCTGACAAGAGTTGGAAAAGCAACGGAGACCTGTTAACCTGTTGAGTGATTCGCATTGCAATAGATCGATCAATTGATCGATCACTCGCATGATCGATCGCCTGCGTGCTCATATATCGATTGGTGTCGAGTGCAAAGCGAACAATTCGTGCAGCTGTTATTTGTAATATCCATTGATATAGTAACCTCTCTGGCTCCTCCTTCCCTCACTGTCTGTCACAATCGTTTTTGCTTTGGCTTTTCGTTTCAGTTTCTTCTTTTATGCTTGGATATAAGAGACCCAATTCCTTTGATACTTGATAAGCAAGTATATAATTCTGTCTTCAACTAAACAGAGTAAGCTTTAGTTTTTTGACCTACAAAGAACTAAGCAGTTACATATTCATCCGTTGGCAAATAACTTGTGAGGGTTTTATGTGCTCGAAGGGTCAACTTCTAGCTGATATATCAAACTTGATCAATTTATCTAGAACAACCCAGATCAAGAAATTACAGAGCAGGTAAATATAACTATAACTATAATATAATATAACTACTTAACATCTATTTCAATCAAAACCTATTTCTCTATCTTTCTCTGTTATATAACTCTATCTTTCATATTCTCTAGCTATCTATCAATATTTTTATACATGCCTACGCCAAGTTATCTCTATCTTTCAATCCATCTATCTATCTATTTATTTATCTATCACTATCTATCACTTTCACTATCTCTCTATCTCCCCTTACTCGTCCATCTCTCCTTTGCTCACCCACCTTTTTCTCCATCTCTGTCTCTCCATAGCTCTTACTCTCATTTTCCCTATCTCTCTGGCTTCCGTTCACTCTATCTTCCCTTTTCTCCTTTCCTTTCACTCTTCTTTTAGTTACTTGATGTACACGTTCTCTGTCTCCACTGTTATTCCCTTATATAGCACTCACTCTCCATCTCTTTTTTTCCTTCAAATTCTCTGCATCCTTGAACAGTGTCAAAGACTTCATAATAATTCAAATGCTAATTACATCAATAGCAACAGCCACAACAGCGAAATGCCCAAAGAATGTGTATGATTCGAAAAAAGAAAAAAATACCGCTCGGTGCGTCATCAGTGCCCGCAATTTATGTGCTTATTTAATGGCAGCTTCCAGCACCCAGAGCAGCCAGCATCTAGTAAGATCTCTCCCCCTATCGGCCCCTCCGCCCACTGCCACGCCTTGCTGTTGCACTGCAATCGCCAATGCTGTAAGCCACACCAATTGCTGAAGCGATGCGATGCGATGCGATACGATCCGATTCCCGACCGATCGAGCAGCCATTGAATTGTAAATTGTAAAATTGTTTCTTTATTTTTTTTTTTTAGTATTTTTTTTAGCATGGCATTTACTGAGTGCCCCAACCCGAACGCTCGATCGATTGATTTCTGATTTGTTTTCGCTTTTTTTCAAAGTATTTTATTTTCATTATTTGTTTTTGGTTTTTGGGTCGCCCTTCACACAGCCTCAAAATGATAGTAATAAAAGCCAACTTCATTGCCAGGTAATTGCCTGTTTTATGTGGGTGTGTGTCTTGGCTAAAGGTGTCTAGGGCGGGGCGGTGCGAGCTTGCGCCGTGTATTCTGCATTCCTCAAGTTAATGACTTGATCAGTCGATCACTCGATCACTCGGAAATTAGCCGAGAATGTCACTGAGTAATATTGCACTTCATATTTTGCTCATTTTGCTAACAAATCCAACTCTGGATTTATGTGAATTTTGAATAGCTCTCCAACTCATGCCACATGCTATTCATTGCGACTATGAAAATACCCTAGCTCGATGAAGTGTATAGAGCGGTAAGTGCTCGGAATCCAAGCCAGTTATGTGACAAGCAGAAGAGTGGAAGAACTGTAAGATCATATTCGACTTGGCAATCAGAGGATATCTCTGAATTGAGAGAGATTGATTGAGCTTACACACTTACAGGGTATTTGCGAGTCGACTCTGTCAGTTGCACGCCAGTTTCTTGTGTTAAAGTGCACTTTGTTTAGTTTCTTATGAGGCATTTATATACATCTAAATTGATTGGCCCAGCCATCAATCAGACGTCATATATCACATAAATATCTCATAGATCATATACATACACATGTATGTGATATATCGTGTCGCGTATATCGTATATGAATATGCTATATTTGATATCGTTTAACATTTATCAATGTCCAATTTCATTTAGGCTCGATTGTCTCTTGAATTGCATTCAATGGCAAGTGCGAGCAGTGCAGCTATATACATGTGCACATGTGTGTGACTGTTCACTCACATACACACACACACAACCACAGGCGCACGCATGCTTCAACACTTTTTTTGTTGTTTTTGTCACCTACAAGAATTGAAAAATGCGCGTTTGTGTTTTCGCAAAAGCCGCTGCTTTGTTGTTGGTGTTGCTGCTGCTGCTGCTGGTGCAGGACGACGTTCGCGTTTAACCGTTAACTTTTAACAGCTCGCGTTTATTTCTCAATTTCGGCTGCACTCGGACTCGGCTGTCTTCGGCTTTCGTATGGTTTTTGCTTTTGTTATGCTTTTTTTCTATCATTCGAATTCGCTGCGTTTTTTTTTCTTTCGTCGTGGTCGTCGTTGTTTTTGTTGTTGTCGCGCGCGTCTTTTCTAGCGTCGTTCGTTCGGTCGACGCGATCTTGGACAAACTGAAGTTCGATTGACGCTGACGCGCGCCGGCAGCAGCAGCAGCAGCAGTAGCAGCAGCATAGAATAGATGCCGCGCTGCCTCGCGCCTCTCTTTGCGTTGACGGCTCTCTCGCATGTGACAAACGCTCGCGTACACACACATGCACACACACACAGAGGCATACATACAAGCACATAACTGTATGGCAAATAGGCAAATAGACAACGGCCGACAGCTGCGCTCTGCTTGACACTGACGCTGACGTCGCTGTCGACGTTGACGGTCTTTTGTTGTTGAGCTTTTTTGTTGTTGTTCAATTTTTTTTCCTTTTTTTAGCTTTAGTAGCTTTTGTTCTTTTTTTTGTGTTTTGTCAACATGCACGACGACGCGCGCGCTTCGCTGCTTTGCTGGATTAGTTGTTGTTGTTTTTTGGCTTATTGTGGATTTTAATTTCATTTCTCTTGCTGCTGCTGCTGTCGTTGTTGTTGCTGTTGTTGTTGTTCTTGTTGTTGTTCTTGTTGCTGCTGCTGCTGCTGTTGCTGCTTTAACGTGTATTTTATATTGTTTGTTTTGTCTTTTGCCAGTCACTATCTATTAACCTAATGCGCGCCTGCCCCGCCCAGCAATCAGCATTCACACACCCACCCACCCAGCCAGTTCCCCTCGTCTTCTTTTTTCTTGTCTTTGTGCTGTTTTGTTTTTCTTCTGTTTGCTGGGGCCTGTTGAAGCGTACGCCACAATCCAGCATACGCACATGTGTGCATGTGTATGTATGTATCGATGTATGTACATACTTATGTATGTGTATGTGTATTCGCCTTTTGGAGCTGAGCTGCCGGCGGAACTAACCTACGACAGGCAGCCGCGCATTGGCGCACACGGCGTATGCGCAATGTGCGAAGTATTAATGCAAGCAAGCAAACAACGACGACGTCCATGCATACCCTGTAAAAACGAGAAACTGACAGTGTGTACGTGTAATATGAAATGCATCACAAAATTTCTTAGTGAAAATATTATTTATTTGTATGAATTATATACAGGATATTATAAAAGTTATATATTAGTAATATATGTATGTATGTATATCCAGTAATAAAAGTTATATATTAGTAATATATGTATGTATGTATATCCAGTAATTCCATACTCTAATATCTTCTGCTGAACTGTTCAATATTTTGCTGAGTATTCCATAGTCGGGCATACCATTTGTTTATCAGTGCAACTGTGCGTAACTGCAAAAATATGTTTTTATTTTAGCACAAAATTTACATTATTTTTGTTTCATATACATATATACATACATATATATGTATTTTTGTTTTTCTGTTTTGATATTTTTGGTCTAGCGGAATATTTGGATGGTATTACGATCACACACAGAGGCGATACAGAACGCATGATCTTTGGCCGCATTCCGTCGTTCCTATGCAGCTGCTGACGTCATTCGTGAAGCTGGAGCAAATGCCAACGCAATGATCCATCATCGTCACGAGTCAAATTTCGATTTAGATTCAGCGACTGCAACTACTCTATATACTATACTAGAAGATATACATACTATATATGTATGTAGATATCTTTGCTGTTTGTGCATGCATTTTGAGGTATCTAAAAATAGGCGCATTCGCTTTGTGGAACACATTCCCATGGAATGTCTAGAGCTGCCGCCCAGACCAGAGCCCCAACACCCAGCACCCAGCACTCAACACCCGACACCCAACCCCAGACCCGAGACATGCCCAACCACTTACACGAAAGTATTTACCTTAGCTAAATACCTGTGTCTATGTGTGTACCTGTGCATGCGCCTCGACTCTGTGCCTACAATCTGGTTTCCCTTTCGACTCATATTCTGTCACGATTCAACGTCTACACCTAGGCAGTAGGTAGCTATAGCAACAACTGAAATTGGAACGCATTACGTAGCTGTCTAGGCATTCGCTTGATCTAAGCTATATCTCTGTAACTCTTATACTTTCGAATTAGTCTGAAAGTTGGCTTTCGCATGTGAAGCAACTTAAACATGGCCCGATTCCAGCGTTCCAGCACTATTTGAAAATATGCCTTAGAGATCTTACATTTCTTTTACGTCTCTTCACGTTTTATATAAAACATTTGTATACTTCTGTCTTTCTGCCTTTCAGTCTATATATCCATGTTTCATATTCCATGCATTCCATAATAAAGACAATTCAGTTTGCTCACATTTATTTCTAGTTTTTGCTTTCGTAACTGATCTACCACGCAAAATCCAAACACCTACAAGGTACTTACTATTTCGTTTTCACTGTTTCGCATCTTCATACATCACTGTTCCACATACCATTCCACCTATCAAATAATTACTTTTCCATAAGCCTTTCTTATGTGCTCTTCTCTAATTGTTGTTCCACTTAGCGCATCTTTCTGTTTCACTTGCCAAACTATTCCAAATTCCATCGATCTTACACCCATTGAGGTCTCCAGCATTGTGGGAGCTCGCAAAATACACACAATCTGTTTACCATTTCGTTTTTCGCATTGTTTGCCTCCCACTTAGCATCGAATCTGATTGCTTGGAGCTCCGCTGGCTTCTGGGCTCTGACTCGGGTACAGGCTGGGGCGATTCTAGATTGTGGCATCAATTAGCGGGTTATTTTCAGAGTATTTTTGTTTCTTTATTAAGGTGCCTTTGATTAGAAAAGTGTTGCCGAAGCCGTGCCAAAGCAAACAAACAACACGCGATCATAAATAGTGGAATGGCACGTGCATTCGCCAAAATACCATGAACAGTGCAATGCTCGATGCCGCACCACAAATGTTTCGTTGCCATGTGACCAGTCGGAGCTGGGCCATTGAGATCCCGAGTTCGGATATAAATCAACGTCGGACATAAGCGAACGCATGATCCAGCCCCGCCCAAAAGCCAATTAGTTATTCCAGTCCAAACAATCCCAGGCGCCCTGCGAATGGACATAATTAAGAGTCAATAAATGAGCCGGGTATTATTTGGTATACATTCATGTATATACAAAGAAGCATTGCTATCTCTCTCTTCCTCTCTAGTTTCTCTCTTAGGGAACTGAAAGTTCAGTTCATGCTAATCGTAAGATATATAATAGAAATTATACTCGAAATCTTGTTTGGCTTTCTTGACTTTATACATTAACCTGTCTTTTATCTTTTTAGATACGATCTAGTGCTATATCTCTTACTATAATCTCTAGATATACATGATCTTATGCATACATTTCATTTCTATATTGAATTCTGAAAGTTTATGTAGAAATGTAGCTAACTAGTTCGTAGAGTTCTGATTCTGTATAGTCGATCTATCGTTCTTAAATTTGCTTAGATAAAGCAAATTAGCTTAAAGATTTTGTATTCCTTATATATATAGTTCTAATCCTGTAATCTAGATCTCTCCCAAAACAATTTCAGAGATGCACTCAATTTGTTTTTCTATGTGATTCGTAAGATCTGTGAATTTATTGTCTACAAAATTCGTGTCGATGCGCCCATCTCTAAATTAGAACACTCGCAGATTAGAGGCAGCAGCCCCACCCCCAGGCCCTGCTGGCCGGCCCCTGCTGTTCGCTCTCTGCGCCCTGCGGCCACAGATGCCGTGCGGGCCCCCAAAAACCGCAAATTTTATCAGCGATCGGTGCGGCGCGTGATCTTGCGAGAGCGCCAAATACTTAGAAATAAACAAGTGGCGACCGACGGTGACGACGACAACGACGACAGATGCCGATGCCGATGCCGATGGTCATCTCAGAGAGCGGGAGGTTCATGGCAGCGGCAGCGGCTGGGACGACGGCGGCAACGACAACGAGAGCGGAACGCGCAAAAAGAAAAAAAAAAAACAACAGAAAAATACAAAAAAAAAGCTAGCCAACAATTTGGGCACTTCAGCAGGGGGCTCCGTCCGAGTGAGGGGCGAGGCGTGGCGGGAGGCAGAACAGGGCATAGGGGGGATTGGGGTCCCGGTTAGGGGGGCAGGGCTGGGCTAGCTGATGAGACGATGAGTAAGCCAAGCGGCTGCGGCTGCGACTGTGACTGTCTGGCGTTAGATAGTCACGCCTTGCCTAGCAGCAGCAGAGGCCAACAACAGCGGCAGCGGCAGAGACAACAGCACATAATTAAGACAATAGTGGGCCATACACTCAAAGAAATGAGCAGGTGCATAATGCTCATGAAAAGGAACAGTGGAATGGCCCAACTGAACAGAAATGAAGCGAAGTGCTTATGCTTCTTTAACAAATCGAATCAATGACTGTTATCAATGCGTCTAAGCTGCCTGTGCCACATCTCAGTGTTCCGCACTTCGTCTCTTATGTCATTGCAATGCTGTTTTACTTTCACTGTTTCATTTTCATATTAAGACTTTTACTCTCCATATTCCAGTTCCAAGATCTCATTAAGCTCCCAGTGCCACATCTCATTGTTCCGCACTTCGTCTCCTATGTCATTGCAATGCTGTTTTACTTTCACTGTTTCATTTTCATAGTAAGACTTTTACTTCCACATTTTGAAGATCTCATTGAGATGCATTGCTTCAATGCTTTATCATGTCTGTGATTTATTCTCTCACATTTTACTGTTTCATATTCGCGTCATATATCCACTCTCCACATGCCAATTCCACACTCTCATTTCACTTGCCACTGTTCTAGCTTCTACTGTTCCACATTGTCATGGCTAGCATATCAGCACAGTCGGTTTGCATGTTTCACACTTCCACGTTTCATTTGCCGCTGCTCTGGCAAGTCTTTGATGACCATCTCGAATACCTATTTATAGCGAACGCAGCTTCTAGACAATTTCTGCGAGTGTATTTACAGCGACTGTTGGTAGTACGTCTATCTGGCGATACGTAAGTATCTATCTATCGCTGGCATAGGGCACACACACGCACACTCACACATACGCACACACACGTTCAGACACTCTCATAATAGAGCAGCATCGCTCGACTGATCATTGATCGCAATCACAAATTTTGCAGACAGCACACAAAAATTGTTGGGC